GATCCTGATCTTTGTCTTCTCCATCTCCCCTCTCCTCCTCCTCCTCCACCACCACCACCACCACCTCCTCCTCCTCCTCCTCCTCCTCCTCTACCGTGACGAGGAACTTGCTGTCATTGCTGAAGCAGAGAGAAACAAATGTCTTGCAATCAGCATGGGATAGAGTCTTCACTCTCTTTTCCGATGCCGTGTTGAACACGCTGACCTGTCGCCTCCTCCATCAGACAACTGAGAGACGAGGGATGGAGGGAGGAAAACGACGGAGATAGAAAAAGCGGAAATGGAAGGAAGAAAGGTGGAAAGGGAAAAGGGAGGGAGAGGGGCAGTGAAAGAAGAAGCAAGGGATGGGGAAGGAGGGAGTGAAGGAGGGACGAACGAATGGAGAGAGGGAGGAGAGAAGGAGCAGCGGAGGAAGCAGAACAGCAGCACGCAGGATACCTGAGAGGTTCCATCCACGAGCTGCTCTGCGACAGCGAGGTACTTCCTGGTGTTGGGGGAGGCCGAGATCGCCGTCATCACCTCCACGTTCTCCGGTTGGAGTAGGAAGCTCATCTCCTGCTCACCAGTCACCCGCAGAATCCTCCTCCTCCTTCCTCCGGCGTGCTCCTGCTCCTGCACCTGCCCCTGCCCCTGCCCCTGCCCCTGCCCCTGCCCCTGCTCCTGCCCCTGCTGCTGCCCCTGCCCCTGCCCCTGCCCCTGCCCCTGCTCCTGCTCCTGCTCTTGCTCTTGCTACTGGGGCCTTCCCGTGCTCTGCTCTTGCTACTGGGCCTCCCGTTCGTCACACTCTCCTTTCACACCTACTTCCCCTACCTCCAACCTCTCCTAATCCACCTTCCATCCCGCATCCCATCTCCCGGTTCGTGCTATAGATCCTCCTCCTCCTCCTCCTCCTCCTCCTCCTCCTCCCCTCCTCTTCCTTCCTCACCTTCGTCTCCGAGTTATAGACGCAGAGGTGTCGACCAGCCGGGTACGCGATCGAGTTGTCGCTGGTATGAATCACGTTGTCTCGCACCCCACTCTGCTCCTTCCGTCAGTCTGTCCGCAGCCCAACAGCAGCCTTACCCATGCTCCGTAGCAGTGCGAGAACTGAAGGAAGGTAGACACGTCCTAGGGGTACGTGAGAGGGCGAGGGAAGAGGAGGTAGAGGAGAGGAGCGGAGAAGGGGAGTGAAGCAGAAAAGAAGAGGGGAGGGGGCAGGGGGAGAGGAGGTGGGGAGGAGATGAGAGGAGGGGAGAGGAGAGGAGAGGAGAGGAGAGGAGAGGAGAGGAGAGGAGAGGAGAGGAGAGGAGAGGAGAAGTAGGAAACGAGAGCAGAGCGGAAGAGGGAAAAATGGACCTCAAGAACCATGTTGATGAAGAAGGAGCAGAAGACTAGTGACGCTAAAGAATCAAGTTCACAGTCGTTCCTCTTCAGGACGCTGAAACATTCAATCCTCGTTTAAAACTATCAAAAAATAATCAGCGACGAAAGAAACTTGTTTTGCTCGTTTGCTGGTTAGTATGCTGATGAAAAAATGTTTTGTATCCCCCTCAAACTTTCATTCTCCTCCTTCTTTGCCTCATCGGCCCCACCACCTGTTTAGCTTACCGCTTCCCCTTTATCCAACCCGCTTTATCCTTCTGTCCTCTCCTCCGGCCTCTCCATGTTTTCCTTGGTCACAAAACTTTCCCGTGTCTGTT